TCAAAGATTACGTTTACAAGAGGACACCGTAAGCTAGGCTGGTAGTTTTTTCCCCTGACGAGGATACGGGGAGAGGGCCTAGGCTCAAGAGTCACGGTTCACTACTGAGTGCATGTAAAGTAAAAAAAAAGAGCTCTAGTTGTTACACGACAAAAAAAATGCATATGAAACATATTGAGGGGTGAGAACCAGAGGGGCGTAAGCGACATTTTGGGTGAAATGGACAGAATGCTACAGAGCACTGACCACCAGAACATTTTTTCCCCCACAGGCTACAGTATATTCAGCCTGAACAATTAAAACATTCATAACAATATGTTGTCCATCATAACTGACACATTTGTACATAGAATCCGAAAATTTTACATTTGTAAACTGCACACTTGTAAATAACATATCTGTACATTAATTTAAGCAATATTTCTAAACTATCTTTCTACTTCTGTATATGCATTATTTAATTGTCTGTTTTTCTTATATTAGTGTTATATTTCCAACTCTACGGTGTAATTCCTATGTATGTCTGCACTATCATGGATGTCTGATCTATGTCTACACTTTCTTCTACACTGGAAGCTCCTGTCGTCAAGTCAAATTCCTTGTGTGTGTAAACATACTTTTGAACAAAGAGTGACAGGTTTGTCCACGTTTTGTTTTTTTTTCATCGTTGTTGTTGAATGCGTATTCATCGACAGAAACATACATTAGCCGAACTGTTTTATGAGTTGTTATTTTTAACTATCCATTTTACAGATGCGTTGTCATTTTTAAGTTGAACCGCGGTGCAAGTGCGTGCCGAACCGTGGGTGGAAAACCCTACGGTTTGATCTTTTACAGAGAACCGTTCCACCCCTAATGTATATATATATATATACTGTATATTCCACATTGTGGTTCAGGGCTTCCATACATGAGTGTAGAAAGAAAGAAAGAATCTAAAGGTGACTAATATCACTCAATCTCCTTGCAGTCAGAATCTGTGAACAATCATACCATCATACTCATGCACATAGGCTGAAATCCCGGGGGGGACAAGACCCCCCACTATCTGAGGGTTGTCCCCCTTAAAAATATGATTAAAAACCACACTGTGTATTGTAAATAACAATATTTTATACTTTAAATAATAGTGTAAGTAGTAAAATAACACAAACGCAAACGGGGCAAAAATGCGTTTTAAGTTTATAAATATTTTGAGTCTCCCCCTCCCTTGCCTCACAGTGCTCAAGTCAAATTCCTTGTGTGTGTAAACATACTTGGTAATTAAGCTCTTTCTGACTTCTGACTTCTTAATAATAATTAGTTAATTTAGTTCATTCATTACTTCAGTATCATTCAGTTAATGGTATTTGCTAACATATTTTTTTCAAATTACAAACCCTAAAAAAGTAATATATTTTAAAATGCATTTATTTCATACTAGTTTAAATCTATTAACATTTTATTTACTTTATTTATTGTCTATTTACTGACATATCACTTAAAACTTACTGATATAAAAATTATAATTAAACTTTATTTGGAGTACTACTTGTGCACAATGCACATTTCTCAATATTAAAGCTAAAATGTGTTTTATTGTCACTATTGATGAGGATTGTATGATCTTTGAATAATAAAGATCTTTAAATGCAAGATTTGTAAAGTGTATCTAAAGTATACTTGCAATAGTTCCACTTTAGCACAATCAAATCTTCTATCTTTAGTTGGACTTCAGCGAATATCAATGAATCAGCAATCACACAAATAATACAAAGAGGCCTCGAGGCAGATTTCTTTGACCCTAGCAACACATGATTGCTGAAATATGATTGGATAAAAGCTCTAACAAAAATATACACTACTGGAAGCACTGCAACCAAGAGAAAAGCTATGCAATGAAGAGAATAGACTATTGGAAATAATTTAATACACATTAATTGGAAAAAAATATATATTAAAACTAAGTCACTGCTTCTGATAGTGTTTAGGTCAGCAGAAAAGGCTTTGCTAGCCCTGACTATATATATATATTAAGGGTGGATCAGTTCAAGTTACACATGTATTCGGTAGCCTAAAATGTGTTTTAATGTCACTATTTGAAAGAAAGAAAGAAAGAAAGAAAGAAAGAAAGAAAGACAAAGAATCTAAAGGTGACTAACATCACTCAATCTCCTTGCAGTCAGAATACGTGAACAATCATACCATCATACTCATGCATCGCCCTCGAAAATAAAAATGTCTGCAATGATCCACAAACATTCAATCAAAACACAAATCAACAGAGGAAATATCAGACTACATTACCAGCTGGGCTCGTCTCTGGTGTGACTGTTGTATGAGTGCTGCTGATGTTAGTAACAGCTGAAAAAAATAAAGACTGATGAATATCAATGAATCAGCAATCACACAAATAATACAAAGAGTTCATGTGAATGTAATTACCTGCACAGTATGCTGAATAGCAGAAAGTTGGTCTTGTTTAGGTCAGCAGAAAAGGCTTTGCTAGCCCTGACGGCCCACTACTGATATATATATATATTAAGGGTGGAACGGTTCAAGTTACTCAGTATTTGGTTTGTATCATGGTTTCAGAATCACGGTTTCGGTACGGTTCAGTATACGTGCTGTAAAAAATTACCGTGAATTTAACGGTAAAAGACTGTAAAAATGCTACAGTAAAAACCTGTTAAATGGTTAATGGTAAATTCCCCTACTATATACGGTGAAAAACTGTATTGGACATTACATGTATTGGACATTAATTTTACGGTAGTATACCGTTTTTGGAAATGTGACAGACCGTATAATTTACAGTGAATAACCGTAAATTGACATTCCCAGAATTCCCTGCGTTTATATATATATATTAAGGGTGGATCAGTTCAAGTTACACATGTATTCGGTTTGTATCATGGTTTTGGTACAGTTCAGTACATGCTATGTTTAGATAAATAGAGGACTATTGGCAAATAAAAACAAAAAAAATTAGAACAAATAATCTAAATACAAGCAACAGAACAAATAAACACAACAAATAAACACTTCACCACACTTTCTCTTGGCTTGTTTTTGCTCACCATAACTAACATGTCTAAACAAACACACAGCTATGGCAACCAAATACATTCTAGTGTTATAAGTCAAGGGTCAAGAGCCCAACTAAAGTAAACACTGACCTCGATAATGGTAATTCAAATGAAACAATTTAAAAGCTGCTTGTGATGGGCTTTGGTTCATTATGTGACTTTCGCATCACCACCTGCCTTTGGTGGTTATCAGTGTATTACAAAGGTACACAACAGATTTCAGTACTTCAATAGGTTGGTATGTTAACATTATATCAGTTAATGAAATTACGGTATTTAACTATAAATTTAAGGTAAAGCCTAAAACGTTGCTACCATATTTTTTACGGTAAAATTCTGGCAACCACAGCTGCTGGTTTTTTACTGTCAAATTTTACGGAATTTTTTTTACAGTGATGATTACATAAATAAAGGACTATTGTCAAATAAAAATAAAGAAAATAAGAACAAATAATCTAAATACAAGCAACAGAACAAATAAACACAACCAAGCAAATATACAAATACAATAAACAGTGCTTTTCAGGTTTTTTAGGTAGGTCTAACAGTTTTTAGGTACAGAAATTGATAATGTAATCAAATAAAAAATAACATTGCATATTTGACTGTATAAATTAAAGATTAATCCTTATTAAAGTTAGAAAAACTGTTCAATCAAGAGCAGTGAGGATCCACTACACTGATACTGTACGTTCAACCGACTATGCCTGCTAGGATACTCACCAAGACAGGCATTTTGACATCATTTTTGTGTGAATTTGTCCTTTCAAGCAAGACTTGAAAACAAACTCAATATTTGTGCGTGTTCTGAGACGTGAATTTGGCGCTTTAGATGAGCGCACACACAAACCTTCTCACGGCGCGCGAGAGTTCTAATTTGCGTCTTCTGGCTCTTTAACATTTAAACTGGCAAGGCTTAGATGAGTTTAGTTCAAACGTGTGCTGTTCAGTTCTCACATGGGTGCGTGCACGCGCTATCAACACCTGGGTGATGACGGCATCAATGACTGGTCATATTCCAGCATGCGGCACTCGCATTGAACAAAGAGTGACAGGTTTGTCCACGTTTAGTTTTTTTTTCATCGTTGTTGTTGTTATGTATTGAGAAGCCAGAATGTGTATCCATCGACAGAAACATACATTAGCCGAACTGTTTTAGGTGTTGTTATTTTTAACAAACCATTTTACAGATGCGTTGTCAGATTTAAGTTGAACCACGGTGCAAGTGCGTGCCGAATCGTGGGTGGAGAACTGAAAGGTTCTAATTTTTACCGAGAACTGTTACACCCCTATTGAAAACTTAACTCAGATATTTCGTTGTAAATTTAAAAGTAATGCATTACTTTACTAGTTACTTGAAAAAGTGATCTGATTACGTAACTCACATTACTTGTAATTCGTTATCCCCCAACACTGATAAT